CTCTCTCATCTTTTTAAGTGGGAGAACTTGCACAATTGATGGCTGACTAAATACTTTTTTGCCCCACTGTATCTAGCCTCTGCTTCAACACATCCAATGAAACAGAGTTCATCACTGCTGGGAGTAACTGTTCTCAGCTGAACTGTTCCAACTGTTAGAAAGGTTTTTCTTTTTTTCTGACTTGCCCATTCACTTTTTTTCCTGCCATACTATAAACTCCTTCTTAGAGCTATAAAAGTCACTATGGAGTTACTGTATAAAGGGATCTCCCAGTGTCTTCTGGGGAGTCCTCTTTGAAAAGTAGCTTTCTCAGAATATTAGGCCAACTCATTCCCAAAACCTGCATTGTTCTCTTCTCTAATTGGTTTCTCTCACTTTAAAGTCAACACAATAATCAGAGAAATAAGCAAAGAATCTAACATGGGACATACCGGCCTGTTCTCATATTCCAAACATGGGCAAGTAATTGTACAGCCGTCCAGAAAAATCCTGCCCCTTGGAGAAGGCTCCTGCTTTCCTCCCACCACTTTATAATACAGCAGCCTGTCCTGGAGAAGAACAAACCACCTTGTTTTCCAATTAGGGACAACGTGACCCTGCAAACAATAAAGAAGCAAATAATAGTGGTTTCCGAAGCAGCTTAAAAGCAGCTTTATCTGTTACAGAGTTGTACAAAGCAATACCTTTACTCATTCTAACTCATAACTTATTTCATTATGAATAGGTTTTTGATTGGTAGAACTTTGAACAAAATCCTAATCACCAGGGCTATTACATTATTTTTAACTTTTCCCTTTATGCTTCTATTATACAGTTGGAAATACCCCATGGGTGCAATATGAGACCCGTGTCTTAGAAAACCAATCCTAAAACTGAAATTTAAATTGAGATGATTTGAATTTTATACACACACACAAATACACACACTCATAAAAGGAATCACAAATGTTCATTAAAACTATAGCATAAATATAACCAATGCTGCCCCACTCACATTTGCTAAAGCCCAATCCATACTGCTTTTTAAAAAAAAATACTTTCAGGTCTAGTCTTGATTCCAGGTGATTGTCTGGACAAGTCCCTGCAGTTTTCTTGGCAACATTTTTTAAAGAATGGTTTGCTATTGCCTTCTTCCTATTGCTGAGAGTGAGTAACTGGCCCAAAGTCAGCCAGTTGGCTTCCTGCCTATGGTGGGACTAGAACTCATGGTCTCCCATCTTCTAGCCTGGCATCTTTAACAACCACATCAAACTGTTTCTCTACTGTTCTTACCAGTGATGTATTTTACAATACTTGAGTTAAATACACAATGATTTGAGTTAAATACACAATGGTTCAAGTTCATTACACAATA